TAAAGTAAATATTTTATGTTTTAATTTTATATTAAATTTAATAAATTAATATTAAAGAAGATAAACTTATTCATATTACTATTTTTTTTCATTCATAACTTTTTGATAATTTGTGAAAAATATAAATAAAAAAAAAAGGTACTCATTAAATTAGTAATTAGCAAGTGAGCATTAAGGTGATAAAGCATTAAACATATAAAGATAAAATAGCAAGAAAGGTATATGAAGCATGTTGTATATTTGTATACTTGTTTTTACCAAACTAAAATATATACATAGTTTAGAAATTTTGGAAATTTAAGTGGGAGTCTTTCCTACAAATCAAGAGAAATTAATTTGCTATCCCTTATATTATACATGGCATTCCCTCTAAATGGTATGAAAAGACTAAATTGTCCAGACCTAAATTATTTATCATTGATTTTAAATTTATGTAGACAATCGATTTTTCAAATTTTTGGACGATATCGGAAATTTCGTAGGCGATACCGGAAATTTTGCGAAATAGTAAGTAATTTACAATATTTTTGTGAAATTTTCGATACTTTGTACCGGAAATTTCAAAATATCTGGTATTTTCGTACTGGAAATTTTGAAATATACGGTATTTTCATTTATCATTTATACTGGAAATTTTGAAATTTCTGGTGTGTCACATAATACCGAAATTTTTGAAAATTTTGATAGTTCAATTTTTTTTTGAAAAATTATCGAAAATTTTGAAATTTCTGATATTTTATATTGTCCTGATATTTTCTAATTTTGCAGTGAGGACCAGAGGCAAAGATGGTTCTATTGTGGGATGAATCACTAATAGAGCTTATGATGAAGCTCGTGCTGACGAGGCACATGCTTCAGAGCTACGGATTTGACGTCATCCTCCGACCGGCTCTCACCAGAAACGGATGGCAGCATAATGTGTAGTTCCACGCACCCCTCCGTCGGGGCCATAGAGTATCCACGGTGGAGGTATAAGCTCCTACTGAGTAGGTGAAGGCTTCTACTGCGGAGGTGAAGGCTCCTACTGCAGAGGTGCATGCTCCTACTGTGGAGGTACAATCTCTTTCTCCTGTTATGGAGCCAGTAGTTGAGGAGCACATTGTGGAGCCTATGGCGCAGGAGCCTGAGCAGAAGGTTGTTGTTAAGCGAGTTGATGAGGTATTCCCCGTTGATACAGACACCACGACTCATGCGTCTACAGAGACATCAATACACACTGATGGAGGTTTCCCTGGAGGACCTTCAGACAGGTCTGTGTTGACGGAATTTGCAGACTATGTCACTTATAGGATATGGCAAGGCGAGGTATATATTTTTAGTTTTGTTTAATTGCATAATTTTCATTTTTTTTTCTTACAAGATTTGATGTATAATAATTTGTTTTTGCTTCTTACAGGAGCTCCCGATGTTGAAGGTCGCTTCTCATGATTCAAAGTTGAAGAATTTCCTTGAGAGTCCCGTGCCTGAGGAGGTGAAGAGGATCGTTAGCGAGTTCTACCTCCTGGAATTTACTAGTTGCTCCTTGACCATGTTGGACGCCTCATTTTTATCAGCTTTTGTTGAGAGGTGGCACTTGAGACATCACCCTTCCATCTTCTATTTGGGGAAACAGTGACTTTAGATGATGTGGACGCCCTCTTTCCTATTCTGATTGCTGGTACATTTTTTACACCAGTTTTTAGGGACCAGGTGACGATCGTGCGCATGGTTATGGAGGATTTGGAGTGTTCTGAGGCGGAGGTGCTGAAGGAGTTTGGTGAGATTCGGGGACTTCACCTTCAGATGTCTTGGATGAGGAGTTTGTATAAAGAGCTTGTGGATGCACAAAGGTACGAGGCTGCCACTAGGGCGTACAAGCTATATATGGTGGCATGTACTCTCTTTGCAGACAAGTCTGGAGTTTATATTGATGTTCAGTACTTGTTTTCTTCAGTGCACTTGACACTCCATATCGGGCTTGGGGAGTGGATGCCTTGACCATGTTGTACACGGAACTTGACGTTGCTTCTCGTCCTGAGACCAGAAAACTTACTGGTTACCTCAACTTGTTAAAGGAATACTATAATTTATTTGATGGTTTTTATTAATTATTTGTGTGTATTTATTTATTGGTTTTTATTTATACAATGTTGGATATACGAGCACTTCCCTCACGGCTGTGAGCGGAAGATCTAGCATATCTCGACACCTGAGCCATGTGAGAGGAGATGGAAGGCCAAGCAAGCCATTCCAGGAGGTTTGATGGAGTACCTGAGGAGGCTTAACGCTCTGACGTTGGATGATGTTGTCTAGACACCCTATACATCTCACCGCCCTCATCGTCTATTTGAGGTATCTACTTTATATTCATGGCATATTAGATGGGAGAGCCATGTGGCTAGACACTTGCCTGAGAGGTGTCTACGCTAGTATGATTATGTACAGAGCATCCCTCGTCCAGTTCTAGAGTCTCTATTTGGTGGGATTGATACCTCCCCTGTGTGATCATGGATATAGCCGTCGAGGTTCAACATCCTGGGCACTGCGAGGTTGGATACTTAAAATGGTTTCACAGTGTGTCACATCCTCGGGTCATGCCACTAGCTGTGATATGTTCTGGGGCCTTCTGGTGCTAGCCCATCTATGGAGCCACCACCACCACCTTCATCACCTGCTGGAGATCAGGATAATCGACTCTAATTTATTATGTTGATGTTGACAGTCTCATGGGTTTGGTAAACCCAAATGGTGAGATATGTAGAAGTTTAGTTAGGTTAGCCGACGTAGCCCGTGGAGGGCCTATGTAGATCTATTTTATTTTGGTTGTATAATATGTATATTTTGGTGAAAACCTAGAACAGTATAACAAACATAAAACAGTATCACAAACATAAACCAAAAACAACTAAACAAGAAAACCTAGGTATGCCAGATGATTCTAGATGTTTCAGACACTTCATTATGTCCTCGACGGATTTTTGGATCTGCACATCCAACTTGATCGGACCTTTAGTTATCCTACGGCGAAATGATCTCTACATAGCCTTCATATCTTCATCATTCTTCAACTCAATTAGATTGCATTTCACCCTTCCATTTGTATCAATCCAATCCTCTTGAAACTCTACCTTTGTCGCTCTTCTGTTATCGGAATCAGGCAGCAAATTATTTAACGTCTCTTTCAAGGTGACAAAGGATTCATAGCCATTTGAAAGCTTGAATTCAACAGGAGGGTTGTTGCCATTGTAATACACTTATGCCTTAATCAGAAATTGAGGAAGAGACATTTTTTGAGATGTATTTTCTCTATAACAAATGTCCTTGTTTATACAAATGGTGATGCAATTCTAAACCACACAAATTTGTCGATGCAATCAAAACCATTCAAATATGTCGGCAAAATCTCAGTCATTCAAAAAACCATATTTTTAATACTACCGAAAACTTCAAATTAATTAAAATTTCCAGTACACCGGAAATTATAAATACACTACTGAAAATTTATGGTACCGGAAATTTCGTAGGGGTGTACCGGAAATTTGAGTGGTACCAAAAATTTCAATCCTTCTATCGGAAATTTCGTCCGAAAACTGTGTTCAACTCATCCAAGAGTAAAAGTGAAATAAAAAAAATTAGGGGGTGACATGTTAAATTCTCACACACCAATGGATGTAGATCCGTCGTTGCTTTTCGATGTGCATTTCTTGAAGACATATATATTGTATACATTTCTAAGTTGTAGAGTTGAACTGTATACAGTTATGTTATGTCATTTTCTATATTATATATATATATATATATATATATATATATATATATATATATATATATATATATATATATATATATATATATATATATATATATATATATATATATATATAGTGTTACAAATAACATCACCTTTAATGTAATATATAGGATTTTTGAATATCTAAAATGAAAACAATTTCGTCTTAATGGTAATGATCTAAACTTCATGATGATCTTCATCCACATCACTCTCTGACAAATAACATCACCTTTGATGTAATACATAGGATTCTTGAATATCTAAAATGAAAACAATATCGTCTTAATGGTAATGATCTAAATTTCATGATGATCTTCATCCACATCACTCTCTGAGAAATTCTTAAACTTCATGATGATCTTCATCCACATCACTCTCTGAGAAATTCTTAAACTTCATGATGATCTTCATCCACATCACTCTCTGAGAAATTCTTAAACTTCATGATGATCTTCATCTACATCACTCTCTGAGAAATCTCATATTCAAAGGACAAATAAAAAGTTTGCAATCATCAATTTTGGAGACAAATTAGAGTTCCGTCAATAATCCTAGTTTGTTTTAGAATTGAAGGACAATACGCGTGGAATACACAAGTGTGTCATGTTGATAGTTATGAGTGGTGGTTCTGCCATTGTTGCTCGAAGTTTTGTTTTTTTATAGAGAAGGATCGGGTGATAGTCATCATGATTAGAAAGGAATGAGAAGAGTATCATGGGAGCTATACGCCTAAATGGCGACATTTAATCTGAATAAAAAGATTATTGCACTTTACATATTTTAGTAAAAAGATCTTGGCTACACAAACCTAATTAGAGAATAGATAGATTGGAATTATGCAATGCTGCATTACCAACAAAAATGTTTAACCAAGATGTAAATGAAAATAAGCGAATGCTTCAAATATTTTTTTAAAAAAATCTAAAATGATTCTCATAAAATTTAAAAGAACAAACTCCAATGTAAAATAATTCAAAGATATATAGTGCAAAAATTAATTCCAAAATGACTTAATACAAAGATGCTGTGATAAAGCCTGAGAATCAGCTTACTAAGGATATAACTGCAAACATTTTCAATCAAATGCAAAGTCACAATGCACCTTTAAAATAGGAATTAGGAACTACCACTAAACCAACACTAACACAATGTCTTATATCTGATTATTTTCCTCCTTCAAATGAAACCACAGTGATACCATATACTATTAATCTTTCCACATCAATGTTCATGCTTGAATGAAACTCTTGAGCTTATTCAACCACACCAAGTACTCTCTGCTATCCTTGTTGATCATGTACTCATGCAAGAAATTTGTTGTGCTTGGTTTGACTCCCCTTATTTCTAAGTACTTGTGGAATGTCTTTTGAAGACTCTCGTCCAAATCCCTGTCAAAAAATGGCACAATCTCAATAAAACAAAGCCTTACCTAAAACATAAATTGAAAATATTCCAAAACCCCAATCTGAACCAAAACATCAATATTGTTAATGTCTCTCCAACAAAGCAGTAGAGGTTATTGTCATTTGTCAACCACAGATTTAACAGTTTAGTTCAAGTTCCGCTGTGCAGCTATCTATCTATGAAGCACGGACACTGAAAACATGACATTGACATGTCGACACCAGTAATGATTTGAAAAAATAAACAAATTAAATATAATCACAAGTGTCGGTATCGATTTTGGACACCAACAAAGACACACCTTTTCTCGGAGGTGTCGGTGCTACAGAGGCAACTATGATATAGTGCCACTACAGCCTCTATTTAAAAACAGTGACACAACCATGGTTTAAAACATTGAATACACATATTTAAAAAGCAAAACAAAAAACCAGGAAGAAAAACGTACTGAAAATCCGGTCCTTCATAAGGAATCTGATCATCCGAAACATCAGGATTCTTAACAGACAAGCTATCAATAACAATCTCATCCGCATACGCAATGCAACTGAACTCCAACGACGGTCCACCCTTCTTAGAAACACTCACTGAAAGTGGAATGCTCGATTGAGTTGCTCTCTCACTCTCAACATCCTTATCATCCTCATTCCCATTCTCATCACCAGTAACCAAATCAGGCATGTGAACCTCAACCTTAATTTCCTCACCTTGATAACTCCTTTCAAGTGTTATTGTCTGTTGTCCTGGACTATCAATTATCTTAAACGGAAAATTACTCGGAACCTCCTCAGCCTATATCAACCAAACCAAAATCAAAATTTTCAACATTTCACAACACATTTCACAAAATAAACAATAATAATCATCATAAAACAAAACAACATCAACTACTACTACTATGATCAATCTAAACTTACATGGCCGGATTCATCAGTTTCCTGAGCACATGTGATTTCTGATTCGATGACACGGAGGAGATTCTCGTCGGAGGAAGGCTTGCTCTTGACAGCTACAGAAGAAAAGTTAGACCTAGGAACAAAGGGATTCTCGAACCGGTTGACGACGGCGGATAGAGCGGCGCGATGACCCGGTTGGGTTTTTCTGATCAATTGACCCGCAGAAGCAAAAGCCCTAACGAAAGTAGTCGACTTGTTGCGAAGAATTGAATTGAACGCCATTTGTGCTTAGTTTCGAGAAAACAACAGAGTGAGGGTTTTACTAGGGTTTTAGAAAGATCGTGAATGGAAAAGTTTTCTTACAAAAAATAATATAAAAGAAATAAATAAGGCCTACTTGTTTTTTTTCTTCTTATAAGCAAATAAGGACTAGTTGTTGAGAATTTGTCTTTGAACCTCAAAATTTTACCCCGCACCCACCAAAATTATTCTTTCATCATGAAATTTGTTTCTAAAAAAACACATATCTTTGGTCAACTTTAACACCTTGTGCAAAAATGCATAGATAATCTAACGCACATGATTTTATTGGAATTTTTGAAAATTTTGGTTATCAATATTATATTTATTTTCAAATTTTTAGAAAAATCGATAATTCATATATTTTTTCTTTTTCGGTAATAAGGACAAGACAACACGATTGTTTCTAGACGAATTGACAAAGCTGAAAGAGCAGCCATAGAAAGCTATCGTGCAGGGATATATTACAAAGTGAGTAGTCCACATCTGTTATTATAGGAGGAGGATTGAGCAATCACACACATCATGTACTCTCCAACATAAATGAGGTACAGTTGGATGAGGCAGATATTTTAATGCAAAACCCGATTTTGTTGTTGTTGATGATATAGAAACAACAACTCAAAAGGATATAGATATTCATGCTGAGGCTTAGGCTGACTCTAAAGCAGAGGCTCGGACTAACATAAAAACGACAACTCAGGCTAACACAGAGGTGAAGGATGCGACTGACACAGAGGTGGAGGTTACGATTGACACAAAGGTGATAATTTGGGCTGATATGGAGTTGTTCGTACACACATATGAGGGCTTCCATGGAGGGCCTAGTAACCATACCTTGCTTATTGTGTATGTCGAGCATGTGGCATTTAAACTGTGTCATGAAGAGGTATACATATTTTATTTTAAGGTTTTTATATATTAGTGGTTAACTCGAAATAACATATGGTTTATATTTTAATTGTTACATGACCATGCCCCATTAAAGGTGCACACCCATGGGGTGAAGTTGAAGAAATTCTCATAAATCCAAATGCTTGACGAGGTTAGACAAATTATTGTTTATGTCAGTCGGCTTTTGTTGATGGATTATTTGTCGACCATGCTCGACGCTCTATTGTTGTCTGTGTTTACATGATAGACTCTCATAACAGATAAGTCTCATATATACATTGATGTCAGATACATCTCTATGTTTTCTGAGTTTGAGCATGTCGACTAGGTGTGAAATGCAACTCTTTGACGATACTATATAATGCCTTTTGAAAGACGATTGTCTTTGAGACGAGACAACTTGCTGGTTATATGAGTCTATTTTCAAGTATAAGTATTTATTATGCTTTTATTTATTTAGTTCTTAATTATCAACAATATGTAGTTTATTCTTATTGTGTAATGTTGAATATACGAGCATTTCTCGTCCATTTGTGATGAGCATGTTTGTGTTTCTATCATTGACTCACCACGGGGCACTAGATAGAGGGCCATATATTCACATACAAGAGGTCTTCAGGAGTACATATAGGGGATTGATCTGCTGATCATAAACAATGTCATATGGACACATTACATAGAGCATAAAGTACATCGGGACTTTGATGACACTGCCATATTTTTCGGTTATCTTCAATTGTTAGATATTTATCTGGGAGGTGTCTGCACAAGTTTGGGTATGTTCAGGGCATCCCTCGTCTGATCTCTATTGTGTCATATGAGGGCACTGATATATGATTTGTGTTTAACATTGTAAGTATTGTCTTTGCTATTAGAGATAATGAAGTAGCAGTGAAGTTCTGTAGACAACGTGATGATGATTACTTATAGTGGTACCTTATAGTATCACACACTCACATCATTCCACCTGCTCAGTTTACTTATGATGTTAGACATTCCCATGATGAAACACCTTCAAATGACGTGTCACTGCCTCCATCTTGTATTGACCAACAACGACTGAAAACGATAACACTTATTTCAAATAACCTCATAGGTTTGACAAAACTAGATTGTGAGATGCATGTTGGGTTGTATTAGATAACATACACTGCTTTTGGAGGACCATAGTAGATTTTATTAGTTTGTTTATTGTTTGATGTTGCTAACATTATTTATATGTTACTGATATCTTATCTTATCTTAACATTTTATTAGAAGAAAATAACATTACATTACTTAACACAGACATTGCTTAATATAACTTATCACAAAAATAATATAAACAAAACTTAAACAATGCTAGATGATTCAGGACGTTTTAACATCTGAAGAATATTGTCGATAAATATGGCAATTGTTGCATCTGCCTCAATCAAACCCTTTATTTCATATCGATGATATGTGCGCTAGGGATGTCAATGGGGCGGGGCGGGGCCAGGGGGACACTTCCCCATCTTTTTCCCCGCCATCAAATTCATTCCCCGTCCCCGTCTCCGATCTCCGTCACGGGGGAATTTCTATCCCCATCCCCGTTCCCCGCGGATCCCCGTTCCCCGCGGGGATCCCCATAGATCCTACATTTATTCATTAATATTTTATTTTTTTAAAATGTTTATATTTTCTATAAAAATAAAAAACACAAAGAATTCACATATTTATTATGTTATTAAAAAATACTAGTATTTGACATTTATTATTTTTTATTAAAAATACTAATGGAACACAAAATAATAATATTTTTTTTTATAAATTTCTATAAAATGCTATAAAATTCAACAAAATGAACTATAATACTTTTTAAAGTAACAATATGCCTAAACAACTAAAAAAATCCAACAACATAATTATGCTTAAAAAACTATACTTCATCAAAACTAATAAGGGATAATTATAAAATTTAGCATCATGAGTATGCTTGAAAAGCTAAAAAATACTTCATAATAAGTCAACTAAAAGCAAAAGTCAACATATCTCTATTTGCTCAATTGATAACACACGTAAAGTAGAAATATCAAAATACTTAAAACAAAGTTACATATAAATAAACTAAAACATTAAGCAAAATATTCAAACAAGTAATGATCAATCATGTCTCTCTTTCCAACTTCTCCTTGCAAGGTCTTCTTCCTCATTCCACAATTAGATATGACTTTCTTTTTCCTACGAAAAGTAAACAATCAATAATTATATTTACTTAAAAAAATACTTTAAAAACTAAAAGGTAATCAACACTAATATGTAAATTACCTTATTATCATCATCATCATCATCAATCATCATCCATATTAATAAAAAATAGAAAAAGTATATTTTAATATTTTTTAAGGAAAAACTGACGACATTATTTTAATTACAAATGCATAGTATAGATAAAAAATGAACACAAAAATATTTAAAAGGAGATAAAAATGAGTAATTTTTTGATTATTTTATATTTTTTTAATATGCAAATGATTTGATAACTCTAAAATTTCTAAACAATTTAATTTAAATTTAATCAAAATAATCAACTTTTCCTATAAGCAATTACATGAACAGGTTTATGAGAATCAAGGAGAAACAATCTACTTTTTTCTATAAACAATAATATAAACAGATTTATGAGAATCAAAGAGAAATAATCTATTTTTTCCTATAAATAATTACACGAACAAATTTATGAAAATCAAACCTTATTGATGAAATTGTAAGAGCTGTGAATAATGGAAGCACACCAAATAGAGAAGATGGAATTGGAAGAGGAAGATGAATGGAGATTTGACTGGAGAAGAAAAAAAGGAGTCTAACGTGTGAGACTCTAAATGTCTGGCAGAAGAAAATGAAACGCTTCAACTTTTTTAGGGTCTAATATTTACATTTCTCTCTCTTAATAAATACATGAATATTTATTTATTTATTTTTATAAATAAACATAAAGGAAATGACTAAAAAACCTAATCTAAAATATATATATTAAATTAACTATATTAAAATAATAGGCGGGGCGGGGTCCCCGCGGGGCGGAGGGTGTATTCCCCGTCCCCGTCCCCGAAATGCTCTCGGGGGAATTTTTCTCCCCATCCCCGCCCCCATAGGGGAAAATTCCCCATCTTTGGGGCCTCGAACGGGGCGTTCCCTGCGGGGATCCCCATTAACAGGTCCAAACTGACATCCCTAATGTGCGCCACACGACTTTTAAATATTCATTTGTATTCAGCTCAAACTTACTAAATCTAACCTTCCATTCATTATCGATTTATGGTGAACGATACTCAATATTAACCACCTTTATTTTGTCGGAATGATGCACAAGATTATCCAATTTGGATATTACAACATCAAGGGTGTCCTTTGTCAGTCTAAAATCAATTAGAGGTTTTACGTCATTGAAGTACATAAACGAGATATACCAATATTGAAACATTTTAATGTGTTTTTTAACAATATATCATACATATTTATACAAGTTTGGAATCATTACGAATCATATAAAATTTTCGGAGCAATCACAACCTTACAAAAGTATCAACAACATTCTAATCGATTAAAATTAACAATATCAAATATTTCAATATTATGAGAAAAATCCGGCAATCAATAGAGATTTAAAAAAAAAAATTAATAAATTAACACTATCTAATTTTTAAGGGTTATGGAAAAACTCCGATAATCTCTAACACTTTTACAAAATATCGATAATTTTTGACACACGCCGATTCTTTTGAAAACTCCGTTAAAAAAAATGCATACCAAATTTCTCTATTAAGGTACCATTTTTTTTTGGGTGCATACCACATTTTTTATTAGTACCGGATTTTTTGCACACCATTTTTTAACGAGAATACTTTTGCTATTATGAAAAAATGGGGGTGCCATAAGGGTGCCAAGAGAAATTTTCCTAGTTGTTCACTTTTGGGCCCATTACAGTTATTGGCTCATCCCAACTCGATTATTATTTATAAACCCTAATCTAATTTTTCCCTCCCTCGCAATTCATTTCCCGCTCTGTAAAAACCCTAAAACCCCTTTCTTGACTGAATTGAACTGAGAAGAAAACACAGAGAAGC